GGAGGGACAAAAAAGTATTCCGTTAAAGATTGTAGTACAACCATTTAGTCACAGTACTAGGGTTAAACTCTTGTGTCATGGTTTGGTTATAGTAATAGGTATAAACTGTGGTATGACATGTTTTTGGCTCTGGGGGAAAAAAAACAAAAGAGAATTCTGTTAAAGACTACTGTACAACCATTTGTGAGGCATGCAGACAAAATGAATTACTTCTGACAATCAATAAGTGGAGACATTGGCCAAAATCGACATCAGGGTCAAATTTGTAGATTTTCTAGTGATGCTATATTCTTTAATTATAACATGCCTTTCATTATTTCATACTTATAAATTAATTATTAAAATTGTAAAAACTTCACCTATAAGTGCGATGTATCCATTTCCATAAGGCTCGAATCCGAGAAGTAACTCATTTTGTCAGAATGCTTCACATTTCGTCACTGTTCTAGGGTTAAACTCTCGTATCATGGTTTGGTTATACATGTAGCACCCGGTATAAACTCTTGAGTTAAGGCTTGGTTATAGAACTAGCTATAAACTCTTGTATTTTGTACTCTGGTATGGTTATAGTACCAAATATAAAATGCTGTATTATGATGGGGGGGGGGGTTTGGAAAGTGTTTACGTCACTCGCAACTGCATACAGTCATATGAGCGTGCAGGACACAGTATACATTTTCATTTGGTGGGAAATTTCCAATTTCGAATCCGGGTAACGACAGAAAAATCTTCTCTAAAATTGTCTCCTTTCCTGCTCTCTAGCAAAGTTCAGTCGTCTGCTTTCGTCTCCACTTTCTGCTCCCACCTTCTCACCTCCTTGGCTCCCTCCTCTGGGCTCCTGACTCTTTCTGCAGCTTTCTACTGCTACTCCTTGGCTCCTTCTTACTGCTGTCCTTCAGCCACACCCCTGATCTTCTGGTAGGAAAGATCTACACCTAGCCTTCTCGGACAAGGGCAAAAAATCTCGGAGGTCCCGTGTGCAAGTTGCACTCGTCAATGATCCGTTGATGGTTTAAAAATCGATAAGAGTAGGCTTCGGCCGCCGCCTGAGCAAAATTCAAAATGTTCTAATACCAAAAATGTTTAATGTGTCACGCGCGCTCATATGACCGTATGTAGTTGCGAGCGCAGAAAAACGCTTACCAAAAAAACCCCCACTCACCTCAGCAGACGACACAGGGGCATCCGTTGTGCCGCTTCCCGCGCTGGACGCTGAACCAGTCTGGCCAGAGGACAAGGTCGTCCCCACAACAGAGTCAGAACTCTCAGTCGCTTTCCCCGTCTCGGCCGTGCTAGTCGTCGATGATGGAGCATCCCGAGGGGATTTCTGGGCCGCTGCTGTCGCCGTGAAACTAAACGAGGAGGTGGAAGGATTGTCTCCCCCTGCCCCTGTGTCAACGACGGACTGTTGCTGCGCTCCAGAGGTGGTCGAGGGAGGGGTTGTAGCGGCCGACGCCCCGAATGGGAAGGTAGCTGCGGTGGATGCACTGGACGACGGGATGAGGCTGAAGCCAAACTTGCCACCGGGCGGGGAGACAGACTTGCCGCCAAACATGCTGGGCCCCGACTCGCCAGGAGAGCTGGAGGCGGCGAACGGACTCCCCCCAGAAGATTTCTTCCCTGGAATAGACATTGTTGCATTTGTGAGGGAGGAGTTTGGTTTTACACTCGAAATCGTCTCTAGTTTAGTTTTAGTAGAGATTTTACGGCACTCGCAACTGCACAAAAGGTCATATGAGCGCCAGAAGATTAGAGGTGTTACAAGAGAGTAACAAACATTTAAAAAAAGGGGAGATAAGGACGATAGATCTTTGACAGGAAAGAAGAAGCAAACCACACCAGAGCACCCGCCAACCACCCACAAATCGTCTCTAAGATGGCCACTAACTGTCCGAGAGAAAAAAAAATGTCCGTCTTACACTGCGTCATTATAATGCAAAACACATGCAAGGTTGTAAATGGGAAGTGGCCGTTTGTACATGGGATTGTCTTATACAGAGGGCCGTTTGTACATGGGATTGTCTTATACAGAGGGCCGTTTGTACATGGGATTGTCTTATACAGAGGGCCGTTTGTACAT